TTACAATGTTACTATCTTGGTTACTATGACAATACCATGGTTACGATGTTACTATGATACTATCATGGTTACAATGTTAATATGATGCTTCCCTGGTAACAATGTTTCTGTGACACTACCATGATTACAATGTTACTATATTGGTTACTATGACAATACCATGGTTACAATGTTACTATCTTGGTTACTATGACAATACCATGGTTACGATGTTACTATGATACTATCATGGTTACAATGTTAATATGATGCTTCCCTGGTAACAATGTTTCTATGACACTACCATGATTACAATGTTACTATATTGGTTACTATGACAATACCATGGTTACAATGTTACTATGATACTACCCTGGTTACAATGTTACTATGACAATACCATGATTACAATGTTACTACCTTGGTTACTATGACAATACCATGGTTATGATGTTACTATGATACTACCTAGGTTACAATGTTACCATGACACTACCATGATTACAATGTTACTATCTTGGTTACTATGACAATACCATGGTTGCGATGTTGTTCTCTTGGCTACTACGACACTACCATGGTTACAATGTTACTATCCTGGTTACTATGACATTATCATGAGTAACTTTGAAACTACCCTGATTTTCAATATAACTATCCTGGTTACAATGTTTCTATACAGTTTACTATGACATTACCTTGATTTTAATGGTACTGTCCAGGTTACAATGTAACTATCCGGGTTACTACGACACTTCCCTGATTACAATGTTACTATCCTGGTTACTATGACACTACCCTGATTACAATGTCACTATCTTGGTTACCATGCTACTATCCATGTAACAATGTTAATATCTGGGTTACTATGACACTACCCTATTTACAATATTACTATCCTGGTTGCTCTGACACTACCCTAATTTGCAATGTTACTATCCTGGTTTCTATGACACTTTTCTGATTACAATGTTTCTATTCTGGTTACTATGACACTACCCTGATTAACAATGTTACTATTATTGTTACAATGTTACTATCCTGGTTACTATGACACTTCCCTGATTACAATGTTACTATCTTGGTTACTATGACACTACCCTGATTACAATGTCACTATCTTGGTTACCATGCTACTATCAATGTTACAATGTTACTATCTGGATAACAATGTTACTATCTGGGTTACTATGACACTACCCTATTTACAATGTTACTATCCTGGTTGCTCTGACACTTTTCTGATTACAATGTTACTATTCTGGTTACTATGACACTACCCTAATTTACAATGTTATTATCCTCGTTACAATGTTACTATCCTGGTTTCTACGACACTTTTCTGATAACAATGTTACTATTCTGGTTACTATGACACTACCTTGATTTACAATTTTACTATTATTGTTATAACGTTACTGTCCTGGTTACTATGACACTTCCCTGATTACAATGTTACTATCCTGGTTACTATGACACTACCTTGATTACAATGTTACTTTCCTGGTTACTATGACACTACCTTGATAACAATATTACTATCCTGGTTACTATGACACTACCTTGATTACAATGTTACTATCCTGGTTACTATGACACTACCCTAATTACAATGATATTATCCGGTTTTCTATGACACTATCCTGATTTACAATGTTACTACCCTGGTTACTATGACAAAACCCTGGTAACAATGTTGCTATCCTGGTTACTATGACACTACCTTTACTATGAAACTACCCTGATTGCAATGTTACTATCCTGGTAACTATGACACTACCTTGATTAAAATGTTACTGTCCTGGTTACCAGACACTCTCCTTGTTACAATGTTACAATCTGGATAACAATGGTTCTTTCAGGGTTACTATCTGGGTTGCTATGACACTACCCTGATTGCAATGTAACTATCTGGGTTGCTATGACACTATCCTGATTTACAATATTACTATCGTTACAATGTTACTTTCCTGGTTACTATGACGCTACCCTGATTACAATGTTACTGTCCTCGTTACTATGACATTACCCTGATTACAATGTTACTATCCTGGTTATTATGACATTACCCTGATAACAATGTTACTATCCTGGTTGCTATGACACTACTCTTATTTACAATGTTATTATCCTGGTTACAATGTTACTGTCCTGGTTACTATGACACTTCCTTGATAACAATGTTACTGTCCTGGTTACTATGTCACTACCTTGATTACAATGTTACTGTCCTGGTTACTATGACACTACCTTGATTATAATGTTTCTGTCCTGGTTACCAGACACTACCTTGATTACAATGTTTAACTGTCCTGGTTACAATGTTACTTTCTTGGTTACAGCTACATGTGTCAGAACTGGTATCTAACAACCTATGGACAGCCTACTACCCTATTCTCCTGTCCTGTTTCTCTTTTATCGTCTGTTTCTGGGCAGAGGTAAGTTATCTGGGTGATCTGTAATCCATTTCAGAGATCATTATTCTCGTATATCTAACATCTTAAATGTTACCATTTGACAATGTTTCAGATTACTTAGGGAAACACTTAGATAAAGTAAACAATCTTTATCAGCCAAATGTTACATGAGTGTAACCTTTCTATGTGTCGTCTACAAAGATCCATGAATTAGGAGTAGTAGAACAAGACTATATGTTCCATTTACTTTAATCTACTTTGATTTCTGCAGATTTTAGAAAATGATTTTATAACTCTCCTGAAAAGAATCGTAAAAATATATAGATATATTTTGATGTTATAATTATCCACCTCCAGGCATTCCACGTTGAGTTTGAGCAGAGTCAACCCCGATTCCTCAGCAAGTCATTTATTGGATTCTTCATCTTTAATCTGTTCACATACTGCCTGTTGTTTGTGAATATTGTGTTGTTGGACGTTGTCCCTAACGATGTCTATGCGGTGAGTACTGCTGGATGTTGTCCCTGGTGCTGTTTATGCTTTAAATACTTTGTTGTCCCTAATAATGTCTTAGCTGTGAGTACCAGAGTTTATGTTGTCCCTAATGATGTCTTTGCTGTTAGTACCAGAGTTTATGTAATGTTAACAACTTTATTTATCAATCTTGATTGTATAATTCATTGTTGTCTATTGGTCATAGAACAACCCCATGACACAATACTTAAGCTTTTTCACATACATGTACTACAAAAGTGTTGTAAACCTGATGTTTCTGTGAGTAAACACAATTAGGGCCATGTCCATAGAGACAGTAGAGTATACAGATTTCTCTCATAGATTCTCACAAGAACAAATTATTTGCATTAGATTAATTATTTAAGACATGTATCCCCTTCAGGTTGTGCACTATTCCTTCAACCCTGACAACTGTTGTGGGGTAAAAAGCTTTAAAATACAACACTATTCATATAGAAATATTATTTACTTCCAGGATTTAGTTACCAAGGTGACCAATGGTATATTTGCTGGTACAATGATTATCGCTGTTATCTTCTTTCTCATTTATGGGATAGAAGTTTATTTCAAGGTAGGTAAAATATCCACCCAGTTGATAATATATGTTATGTTTCTTAATACAAAAACATGTATTTATTGATCATAAAGCTATAGTTTCACGATGGTTTGTTTTTCTTTACATGGTGAGAAGTTGGTTTGTGTGTAGTTTGATTTGAGAGCATTACAGGTGAAAAATAGGGAGAAATAACAATATCCCACATGTATTTGTATGGGTAATAGTTTCTGTATGTATTTGCATGTGTAATATTTTTCTGTGTGTATTTGTATGGGTAATAGTTTCTGTATGTATTTGTATGGGTAATAGTTTTCTGTGTGTATTTGTTTGGGTAATAGTTTTCTGTATGTATTTGTATGGGTAATAGTTTCTGTATGTATTTGTATGGGTAATAGCTTTCTGTGTTTATTTGTATGGGTAATAGTTTTCTGTGTGTATTTGTACAGGTAATAGTTTTCTGTGTGTATTTGTATGGGTAATAGTTTCTGTATGTATTTGTATGGGTAATAGTTTTCTGTGTGTATTTGTTTGGGTAATAGTTTTCTGTATGTATTTGTATGGGTAATAGTTTCTGTATGTATTTGTATGGGTAATAGCTTTCTGTGTTTATTTGTATGGGTAATAGTTTTCTGTGTGTATTTGTACAGGTAATAGTTTTCTGTGTGTATTTGTATGGGTAATAGTTTCTGTATGTATTTGTATGGGTAATAGTTTTCTGTGTGTATTTGTATGGGTAATAGTTTTCTGTATGTATTTGTATGGGTAATAGTTTCTGTATGTATTTGTATGGGTAATAGTTTTCTGTGTGTATTTGTATGGGTAACAGTTTCTTTATGTATTTGTATGGGTAATCGTTTTCTGTGTGTATTTGTATGGGTAATAGTTTTCTGTGTGTATTTGTATGGGTAATAGTTTCTGTATGTATTTGTATGGGTAATAGTTTTCTGTGTGTATTTGTATGGGTAATAGTTTTCTGTGTGTATTTGTATGGGTAATAGTTTCTGTATGTATTTGTATGGGTAATAGTTTTCTGTGTGTTTTTGTACAGGTAATAATTTCTGTGTGTATTTGTACGAGTAATAGTTTTCTCTGTGTATTTGTATGGGTAATAGTTTCTGTATGTATTTGTATGGGTAATAGTTTTCTGTGTGTTTTTGTACAGGTAATAATTTCTGTGTGTATTTGTACGAGTAATAGTTTTCTCTGTGTATTTGTATGGGTAATAGTTTCTGTATGTATTTGTATGGGTAATTGTTTTCGGTGTGTATTTGTATGGGTAATAGTTTTCTGTGTGTATTTGAATGGGAAATAGTTTCTGTGTGTATTTGTATGGGTAATAGTTTTCTGTGTGTATTTGTATGGGTAATAGTTTTCTGTGTGTATTTGTATGGGTAATAGTTTTCTGTGTGTATTTGTATGGGTAATAGTTTTCTGTGTGTTTTTGTACACGTAATAATTTCTGTGTGTATTTGTACGAGTAATAGTTTTCTCTGTGTATTTGTACGGGTAATAATTTCTGTATGTATTTGTATGGGTAATAGTTTTCTGTGTGTATTTGTATGGGTAATAGTTTCTGTGTGTATTTGTAAGGGTAATAGTTTTCTGTGTGTATTAATTTGTATGGGTAATAGTTTTCTGTGTGTATTTGTACAGGTAATAGTTTTCTGTGTGTATTGATTTGTATGGGTAATAGTTTTCTGTGTGTTTTTGTACACGTAATAATTTCTGTGTGTATTTGTATGGGTAATAGTTTCTTTAGGTATTTGTATGGGTAATAGTTTTTTGTGTGTATTTGTATGGGTAATAGTCTTCTGTGTGTATTTGTATGGGTACTAGTTTCTGTGTGTATTTGTAAGGGGAATAGTTTTCTGTGTGTATTAATTTGTATGGGTAATAGTTTTCTGTGTGTTTTTGTACAGGTAATAATTTCTGTGTGTATTTGTATGAGTAATAGTTTTCTCTGTGTATTTGTATGGGTAATAATTTCTGTATGTATTTGTATGGGTAATAGTTTTCTGTGTGTTTTTGTATGGGTAAAAGTTTTCTGTGTGTATTTGTATGGGAAATAGTTTCTGTGTGTATTTGTATGGGTAATAGTTTTCTGTAAGTAATTGTATGGGTAATAGTTTTCTGTGTGTATTTGCATGGGTAATCATTTTCTGTGTGTTTTTGTATGGGTAAAAGTTTTCTGTGTGTATTTGTATGGGAAATAGTTTCTGTGTGTATTGGTATGGGTATAACAGTATCCTGTGTGTATTTCTTTAAGAAACAGTATTCTGTGTATATTTGTACAGGTGCGTGGGGCATTCACTAAAGGAGACAGTGATGTTGACCCCTGGCAGTTGAGTATGTCCCGTCTAGGTTTGGTTTCCCAGGCCATGTTCCAGCTCTGTCTAGCTCTATTTCTCCTGTCAGACATTACCAAGGATGTGTGGAAAGACAGGTAGGCAGTTCATTGTAGAACTTGAGATGGTAGTGGGAAATGTTTCTGTTTAATTGAATCAATTTGAAGGATCATTAAAGACAGAAAAATATATTTTTAGCCATGAAAGAAGAGTCAAATAACTAAAAAACAATCATTTTTCTAACAGACTACCGATTCTCAGCCAGAACTTTTACGACATTGGGTTCCGGGTGGTGGAGTTCAGTGTGGCTGTATGGTTCCCTTGTGTTCTGTGGAACTATAAAAGGTAAAGTTTCTGAATGTAGTCTACTCATATCCATTCCACCATGGCCAGCTACAGATCCAGCTCAGCATGGATTTCGAAAGATATGAATTGTATGAAACATTTTAAGTCATGCCCATTTTGGACCAAGTCTATTTCCAACATTGCCATTAAAAATTTGCAATTTAAGTTTTCACTTTGCTTCTACTATTCTTACATGTATCATGATACATATCCTCATGTCATCCTTGCAGCCCTAATATATATACAGTAACACATTATACGCTTATTTACTTCCAGCCCTGAAAGTCTGTGGGTCCTCAACCCTAAGAGATTATTTAGTACTGCCAAGACTGTGTTTGATGAAAGTACAGAAGAAAAATACATCAAGAGCACAGAGTATCAATCATATGGTTCATGTAACCCCAGTGTTACCGGTGAGTATCAATCCAGGGGTCCTGTTACCC